AAGTACACTGCTGAGGGGAGCAGTGGGTGGGTCAGGAGAGGTCTGCTGTGCCATGTGGGTCACCTCTGGGGCAGGGATCAAACTCATGCTGAAGTGGCTTTAGCTTCTTAGTGCTGGGCTTTAACCCGCTGCTCCTCCAGGGAGGGCCCACACAAGGCTAATTTACTGTACTATGTATGTAGTTCTGAGAAGCTTAGCTATCTTTTCATAAATTAAAGAAATTTTTAAAAAGCCAGGGCAGGCAAAAGTAGATGACTAGATTAAAAAGATATGGTATATATACACAATGGAATTTTACTCAGCAATCAAAAAAGATTATCACATGTCTTTTGCAGCAACATGGATGGAGCTGGAAGGGATCATGCTTAGTGAAATATGCCAGAAAGAAAAGGAAAAATACCAGATGTTTTCACTCATAGTAGGAGTATAAAGGACCAGGAGAGAAAAATAATAATGATGATGAACAACATATACCAGATATATTTTACGGGGGTGGAATGGGGAATGGGGTCAAAAACGGTGCGGGGAGGGAAGTGCACTGGGCTATGGTGATGGCACACGGGTGATTTGGTGATGGGAAGCCCAGAGGGATTACAACTGAGATGGAAAGGCACAAAACAATGTAAAAGTAAACTATTATATTATAAAATTAGAAGAAAAAAAAAAGAGCCATAGCTAAGTCAGACTAATACGCCTGTGTAATTTTTCAAAAATAAACTTCTGTTCTCCACCACCAAAAAAAAAAGGACAGCGGTCTCCTTGGTGGCACAAAGGTTTAAGCGTCAACACCATGAAGCTATCTACAGCCACTGCAGCTGTGACTTTGATCCCCAGCCTGGGAACTAATCCACGTAACACAGCAGACCTCATCTGTCTTACCCTCTGCTCTGTTTCAGTCAATCCAACTATTCTGCTCCCCACTCTGACTCTGGCGAATCCTCTTACCCTCCCCGCATTTCTGGCTCCGTACCCCAGTTCTTGTATACTAAGTAAATAAATAAATCTTTAAGAAGGAAAAAAAAACAAAAAGGACAATAGGGCAAGCAAACTCACAGAACTAAGAAATCATAATAATAGGAGTATTGATGGTAGCCATAAAGACTAACACTTTATACAGCACTAACTTTGTACCAGGCACTTTTTTTTTTTTTTTTTAATTCTACTGTTGAGAAACAGCTCAGACATAAAGTTGATAAAGACTGGGCTTTTTTTTTATTCTTTTTTGGCCTAGATATACAAATCAGCTTGTTGAAATTAAAAATATATATATTAAACATGGATACATGTTTGTATCATGAGGGAGAATATTGTAAAGAATCTTTGATCAATAAATACCATACTTCTTAATGATTTAAAAATATAAATGAACTGAAAAATCATTTACCCAGGTGGAAGCTTTCTACCAAAAGGAATAGAAATTTTCCAATTTCAGTGCAAAGTCCTGGTTTCTTCTTAAAATAACTTTGTAAAATTCCTTAGTATATCAGACAATGAAGTTAATCTTTGAGGAAAAAAAGTCCAATCCTCAAAGTACTTTTTTTAATCATAATAAGGCACAAGCAAATCTCTTGTTGATACAGCTGCTGCTGTATTCTTGTCACCAAGAAATCACAAATTTGGTCTCCAGGAGTACAACTATGAGTAAGAGTTTCTTTGGAGATCAAAAAATGTTCCACCTTAAGTAGTAAAAGGTACTTCTCACAAACTAAATAATTAAAAGTAGTGCTATCTTCTGAACAAGCTATTCAAAGATTGATCAGACGTTCAAACTAGCAATTGTGCTTGTAAAAGCAGTAGAAGAGCTGAAAACAGTGTAGTTAAATAATTCATAAAAAAATCATGTTCCTAACAGGAGATAGTTAACTCAAACAAAATTTTGCTTCCTGTAAACCAAGTTCTTTTTATTTTTGAATAAGCAAAAGCAGAATATTCAAATCAAAAAACATATTTAAAAGTGTAACTTCACCTATGTCTTCTCAATTTCTATGGAGTAACATGCCACCATTATTCCCTTTCTCCCATCTTCCACTTTTTATTCTATTCAGCTTTTGCCTCTGAGCCAATCATACTCAACTTCTTCAAATTTTCCATTCTATCTAGTTATCAACTCATGTTGTTCCCCTCACTGTATACTTTTTGGGATAAATTCTTTACTATATATATATATATACACACACATATATATGTATATATGTGTATATGTATATATATATATAGATGAAGGAGCACATATACATATATATATGTATATGTGCTCCTTCATCTTTCACTTAAATCCCTCTCTTTTACCACACCCTTCCCATCTTTCACCTCTCTGATTCCACCATTCCAAAAGGACTAGTCCTTTTATGTTCACTACTTCCTTCTAATACCAAAACCTTTACTTTATTTGAACTTTCTATGATATCTAGCAATTCTTTCTCCAAAAAAGGCATACAAATAGTAAGTACACAGAAAGAACTTCAAAATCATTAACCATTTAGGGAAATGCAAACCAAAAGTACAATGCGATACCAAGGATAGCTTACATCAAAAAGACATATCAAGAAGTATTGGCAATGGTGTGAAGAAACCCTCAGACACTGAGGGTAAGAATGTGAAATGGGGCCCTCCCTGGTGGCACAGTGGGTTGAAGCACAGCACTAAGAAGCTAAAGCCACTTCCGCATGAGTTCCATCCCCACCAGCCCCGGAGGTGACCACATGGTGCAGCAGACCTCTCCTGACCCGCCCGGTGCTCCCCTCAGCAGTGTACTTCATCAATCTACGTGTTCTGCTCCCCACTGTCTCTGGTGAATCCTCTCACTGCCCTGCACCTCTGGGCTGTACCCCAGTTCTGTATGCATAAGTGAATAAATCTTAAAAAAAAAAAGTGAAATGGTGCATCAATCACAGAATTTAAACAGGTTTTCAAAATGCTAAAGTTATCATATGAACCAGTAATTCTATTTCTAGGTATATTCTTCACATAAAAACCTGTACATGAACAACAATGACTGCTACTATCAAAAAAGGACAAAGATTTAAAGAAATTAAAGCCCTGTGCACCACTGGTGGGATTATAATAGTTCAGCCACTATGGAAAAGACTGGCAGTTCTTTAAAAAGTTAAGCATGGGCCTCCCTGGTGGCATAACGGGTTAAAATGTAGCACTGTGAAGCTTGCCTCAGCCACTTCAGCATGAATTCGATCCCCAGTCAGGGAGGTGACCCACATGGTGTGGCAGATCTCTCCTG